CCCCAAAACCCCAAAACCCCAAAACCCCAAAACCCCTCTTAAATTCTACGTCATTGAGTGCTATAATATAATTTAAGGATCACTATTTAAACCAAGAATGTCTACTATGCTCACAATGTTTAAACAAGATGCTGAGATGGTCAATGTTGCAAAGAGAACCCCCACAGCTGCAAAGATCGCTGAAAGAGCACTTGAGAATTCCAACCTGAGACTCGATAGGGACATCACTGACTATCTATACAAAGTGAAACTCGCCTTGCTGAACTTTTTTAATCAGTACAAAAGATTGGATTTTAACCTTAAGTATTACTCGAACAAGAAGCTTATTGGTAAGCTGCCTGAGGATAGCTATTTCAGGATGAAGAAGTACAACTTTGTCAGCATTGGAGGATTCACTAAGTCTAAGGACCCCAATGCTAAGAGGTTACTTCAGAAACTTCATTCCAATATCTTCAAAGTTTTCTATTTTGGACATGAATTTAATCCTATGGAGATGAAGCCCTTCTCTTACTATAAGAAGGAGGTGATGAAGATCCTTCCTAAGGTGAGCCTTGAGGTGTGCATCTCAGGATGTGTCATTACCAAAAAGGACCTGTTGCACATCATTCATAGCTCCTCTGAGTGCAAAGCACTAAAGTTCAAGAACTGCGTCATCCAATCTGGTGAGATTAGTATCAAAAAGTCTATTAAGTTTAAAACTAACTTAGTTGAATTTGATAACTGCAAGAGTTCATCAAAACAGGAAGATTTTATGGGTTCCTTACATGTTCAGAACCTCTTGCAAGCTATGCTGGAATGCTCACTTGCACAGTCCTTGATCTCCATCAAGGTGAGCAACTGTGGTGCCACCAGGGAGGACTTCTTAAGCCAGGCTGAAGAACTCAACCATAATGGAGTCAAAATTTATGATGGTAGCGACAAGTAAAATTGTGGATACCACATCTATATCAAATTTGTTCTAATAATGGAATATTCTATCAAATTTTCCTCGTCAGGGGTTTTGGGGTTTTGGGGTTTTGGGGTTTTGGGGTTTTGGGGTTTTGGGGTTTTGGGG